ATTCTTTTATTTTTATTTTGACAAAGTAGAGCACTAAAAATTGAAGATAGTGTGCTTGTCAACTAGCACGCGCATTAGAACCCAGCGCGCACATGCTGTAAAATACGACGCAACAGACGAAAAAGAATTTCGTCATAGACGAATAGAGAACGGAAGAAAAATGTTCAAATTCTTAGATGGAACGGAAAAGGCGAAGCAGGCTTCTTTTTCGAATTTAATCAGTGGATTATTATCGTGACCCTTTATTTTACCGTGTACTCTGATACGTATTGTGAAAGCAGTCACGTGTCGTGACAAAAAACTGGACGATGTCCATTCAATTAAAAATGGACGTTTTCACGAATGGTACGAAGATTACAAGGTGTTCGACTGGGTTGAGGTAGGACTAGTTGAAGCCTTCATCAAAGTGAGGATATTAGGGGTACCCAACGGCCGAATGTTTCCAAATACGCCAGACATGTCTCAAATGGTTTTTTACTACTCATTAGAAGCCTGTTTTGTTAATTTGAAGCTGCCCTAAAAACTATTTTTCTGTTTGGATGTCTCAAGGGAACTTTGGTCGTCTCTCGTCTCTAATTGGTGGTCTTCCAAACTGTTTCCTCCATGATGGGTGTGGTCGAAAGTTTGAGGATATGAAGTGGCCGTATGCAGTTCATTAGAAGATTCTAGCGGACCTATTGTTTTTGTACCCAAATAATTTTCGGGACACCTTTTGTAACAATAATCGCAGTACCTTAGTACTAAAATGTGAAAAACACAACCTTTCGAAAATCTTAGGTAAGCTAGTATAAAAACTACGAATATCTTAGACGAATTGAACGGTTATTCAGATATTCAGTTTTAGCCTTTGTCGAGCTTAAGAAATTTTTAGGTAATATTTGCTCCTTCGAACAGTCGTCGGCTGCCCCCTGAGGATATTCAGAGAGTCAGAAGGGTAAACTCGTGCTACTGGAGAAAGACAAAGAACTTTTGTAGTCAAGGGAGAACTGACGTTATTTTTAGGACAACAGCTTTATACATGAAACTTAACGTGTATGAAAAACACAGCTACCAAGACGACATTATGACTCACAATTTTGTCTTAGTGGCTGTGTTGTTCATGCATCGTCAACACCGGCTCCGTTACAGAATTATTCCGCAAACAGACGTCGGAAATTTCAAGATAACGTTGGCACAACCATGAAAGAAATGACTACGCCAACGGTAACTCTCGTTCGAAAGTCGGGCTCACTGACTTTGAAACGTGTGCTTCGGCCCAGATGCAGAAACAGCACTGTTGTTCGGGCTGGTCTAGTAGCGCATGCGTTTCAGGACTACGTTTACCCGGATGATCATACTCAACCTACGTATGAAATAAATCCTGGGATTCAAACCACACACTGCAATACAAAATAAAGCAGCGACATGCAATTTCTTCTTCGAACGCCTATTCTGTTTCCGAGAAGTCACACGTTCGAGTACTTTTGAGGACTCAAGATAAACTTTTTCTCCCACCCTCGTAGTATGACAATTATTACATCGCTATGTCTGCTGTAAAATTGCGACAGTAATAAAAAACGTGTGGTTTTGTTCAACGTTATAGATGCTACTTCCATTGTTCACTCAACTGGATTTCCCTCAGGATGGAGCTAAAGATGCCAGTGATATTCCTGAGGTAGCAATATGGTAAGCAAGCTTAAAATACAAAAAAAATTCTCTCTGTCTGGGATCCTTTGGGCCGGTTGTTAAGACCGAGTTTAAGGTACGGTAGAAGGGAAAGGATTTAGCTTCTTGACCCTTTAAATTCTAATATCAAAGTAGTAGATGAGAGAAGATGTTAAAAAATCAATAAAATTCATCTTGCGTGATCATGCCCTTAATTCTCATTACCACTCTGCTGAATAAAGCGCTAAAATTACAGGGAGAAGTTGGATGCTGATCACTCTTAGGGCTTCCAGGGTTTAAATACAATCCCCTTACATACAGATTTCGAGGTGCAGTCATTTCCTTAACCTCCGTTTTAGTTATAGACGCCGTAAATAACCCACCCTTTGTGTTGCGCGTAAGACGCACATCCTCGAGGTCATGTGACTTATGAGTTTACTATACACCCACCCTACCAAGGGGGACAGAAAAAAAATCAGGTAGGGTAGCTAAGGATTGTGCGGGGTAATTGAGTTTTTTCATAGATTACCGCGGTTCGTCAAAACAATACCTAGAATTTGTCGACAGGTTGCTCCAAAAATGTAGATGAAACTGTTTTGCTTACATTGTTTATTTTCTTCAGTACTGTTCTTCTTTCACTTCTATCCGATCTTTTGCGGAGTTCATGCACCAGTCAGCAGCAGATGATCCAATGCCAAGGATTTCTTGTCATCAGTCATGTTTTAGAGAAGGTACCATAAAGTAAATAATATACAGTGGAAGCTCTGGTAAGAGGGCACCCTCGGGACGAGAAAAAGGTGCCCGTAACTGGAGCAGGCCGCTTACGAGACTGGTTCTTGTATGCGGCCACTAGAGGTGTAACACTGAGTAAGGGTTAGATGGCCACTTACGGGAGCTTGTCAATCTACAAATAAAGACTGGGAATGCAAAAAAACCTGTTTGTTATTGTTTGCCTTTACTGTTGCTCTGACGACGTTGTAATGCAGGCGCAAGCATAAAATTCAAGTGGTTTAATGAAGTGTAACCGGACGTCTATTGTAAAAAAAAAAAACAACAACAACAACAACCAACTCTGTTTTATTGGCGAATGAGATTTCATTTCGGGTATGGGTTTACGAGAGCTTAAGACGGAATCCATCAGGAAATTGAGTAATTTTAATTTTCAGTGGACAAAAACCTTGTGCCGGAATAATTTAACCAATATCGCGTTCTTTTTTACATTTTTCAAGGGCTAAAGATGTAATTGTTTATCTGTAATAACACCAAAGAAAATTTCTTATGGGAGTCCAAGAAAATAAATCTGAAATTTCACAAATGACATCTTACTCGTGAAATTTTCAGAATTTTACCTGTGTTTTCACAATTCTTATGAAATTTGACATTGATTTTCTCGAGTTTTTTGGTTCAAATAAAAACCGGCTCGATATTAAATATTTCGGAAACGAATCGATGATTTCCTAGTATTTCATTGGGAAAACAAGTGGTTATAAGTTGTACTGATTTACATATTTTTGATGTTGTAGGCTGTCTCCACGCATCTCACAGAAGACGCTTTAAATATTCTGCTCTCTCTTGCAAGGCATGTGATTCCTTTTCATCATCAACTTTACTCTTGTGACATCCCTCTGTTACTTTGTTGTTAACCCTTTCAGCCCCAATATCCAAATACAAATTCTCCGGACTTATCTTCATAAATTTACCGCCGCCTAGTTAGCTCAGTTGGGATAGTGCCGGTCTGCTGAGCGGGAAGTCGCGGGTTGAAACCCCAGCCGGACCAACACTCAGGGTCTTTAAATAACTGAGAAGAAAGTGCTACCTTTGCAATCTGCAAACGGTTAGACTTTCTAGTCTTCTTGGATAAGGACGAAAAACCGTAGGTCCCGTCGCACAGCACTTTCACATATCTGGTTCTTGTGGGACGTAAAAGAACCCACACCACTGTTCGAAAAGAGTAGGGGACGTAGACCCCGGGGGTGTGGTCAACCTCTCCTTGGCTGGGTGGGTTATCTGTAAGGACACACTTAAATTGGAGCCCCACTCTGTTGTGTGTTCTGCATCATATAGTGGAAGTGATTAAATAAATAAATAAACAATTTTATTAAGGATCAAGGCATTTTTCCTTTGATAATCATTTTGTTCATCATCTTAACCTTTTCATTTTTGATATACAGATATTGTTAGGAGAAAGTTGATGTTTGTCATTCTTGGGACTAAAAGCAGCTGTTAAAGGCTTAATGCACCTTCTTTTTTGCCTCAAAATTGATACTTTCTTTTTATTTGCAGATATCTTTTAAGTTCGACTGGATCTGGAGCCTTATTAGGAAGTCTCTTTGATCATATTCTGTTCAATCCAAACTTATGGGTGAAAGCGTCTCCTAAGGTATTTCTAAGCATATTTCTTTAAGTCCATTCCATTTTCTTTCAATCCGCGTCATTATTTACATAAGAGAACTTTGCCCTTCTAGCGTTCACTTTGCACCTGCCCCGCACAATTTTCTGTACGCTGCTTCACGGGGGGTGAACATGAGTATTTCAAAACTCTTGACTCAAACTTAAAAACGTGCTGGCTGATCAAAAGATGGATAGCGCTATCCACCAGATAAATCACTATCCAGCGAACAAGTAAGTTTTGTAAAATTTCGGAATCCTTTAAAATACTGAACTAATCTTGAAGTTCCAAAAAAAAAAATTATAAAAAGATAAGTATTCGAGGAACCAATTGTGTTATCGACTGGATAGAAATTTATACAGTGGATAACGTTATCAACCTTTCGAACAACTGGGGTCTGACAGTTAAACCAAGAAAGAATCCGCCTACCCAACAGGCGCCCCTAGCTGCCCCTTCTAACCTCATCAAATAAAGTAGGTATGTATGTGCCCCCGAATTCCCTCGGCAGCGTCGGTATTTTTTCGGTATTAATTGTGGCGAGAACTTTGTCTTATTATTGTTCAATCCATCACCACCCTTTAGCAATGGAAGCCACTTAAGTTCTGATCTTTCTTTCCATACAGGTCCAGCTTCAGTTGTTTAGTGTGTTTGCCACAGACCTGGCAACAGGCACAGGATGTGCAGCTCATCTGCGCCGCGATGTTGGGGTCAGCAGACTCATGTACATGTTAAAGACGTTTTATCGGCTTTCCAGTGACAATGAATTTGAAAAAGGTAAACGAACATAAAGATTACTTTTTTGTAGACATGTGGTAGTTCTTTAGTCTCCTTCGCAACCGTTTTTAGGCTCGTCACGCAACGGCTGGGAAGGAGACTAGTAGTTCTTTCCCCTGTTTTGTTTCCGACGATAATGGAAACAAGCCTACATTCTTGACCAAGGGAGATTCGAAGGCACACCACGTGATACGACTTAATTCAAAATGGCCGCGCTAGAAAACTTCAAAACAACATGGGCGGTATGCATGCCCAATTAATTTGGGAATTTTCTTCCACTTGTTAAAAATGTATCCAAATTTCTACTTTTTTCGTCCAACATTGCAACAATTTGTCATAACGATAGACGTTCTGAGTTTAAGTGAAGAGACCATCCTAACGCTTGTAATAACAAATTAGTAACATGTAAAGTATTTATAAACGGGATGTTATTCCATTATTTTTGCGTCATTAGTACCACTATCTTCCAATTTATCCGCGTCTGCATCATCGTTTCATCTGCCCTGCCTTACTTTATTATTATTGTTTACTGTACAGAAAACACAGCTCCAACAAATGAAGAAATCCTTTCTCTGAGAGCATTTTTGCTGCTCTTGGTGAAACAGCTAGTACTAAAGGTAAGTTCGTAACTAACACCAGTCATTATTCATTCAAAATATTTCTCCGCTTGTGATTGGCTCAAATCCCACGGCTAATTCTACATAACCTGCCAGCGTTGTTGCAATATCGGGAAAATGACGTCAGTAGTACAGGGTAATAGCCAGAAAAAAAGACGGCAACCGACAAGGCCTGGGGACGAGGTTGCGTTGTTTTGGTAGAGCAAGACAAAATGGCGCAACGTTTCACTCGTTTCGCGAAGAAGAAATAGGCAAACTACTGTCTAAAAACAAAGCAAGAATGCAACTGGACCACGATTTCTTGCACTGGCTTGTTTTCCCATCGCATTGCTTTTATTCCATCAGTCTTTAAGCGCATGCAAAGATTCGGGTATCGTGGATAAGGTCTATTGCTGTCATTGCTGTCATATTTTCCTTACATTCCTAAAAATATTTCTTTTTTCCTAAAACGCGTTCTTTGAGTTGCGATGTCTTCTCATTTAACCCTTTCGTGGCTAGATCTTCGCATAGATTAGCCTGGGTAGCAGATGGGTTTTTGGAGTGTTTTACGCTTTTTATTAGTAAAGTAAAAAGAATTTCTCTGCCTTTCCTCCGCCCCCTCCCTCACCGTTTTCTCGTGCGGCTTTGTCTCTTACTTTACAGACCACAAACGAAAATCTCACCAAAAAAACGCCTTCTGCGCTGGCTAAGGGAAGAGCGAAATCATAAATTATGCAATTTTAGCTTTTTTAAAAGAAAAGAGAACGGCAAAGTTCGTAAAATTTCTAAACGATCTCTTTCCTTGAGAATAGGATCACGTGCTGACTCGTTGAAATCATGCTATTTTTTCTTGTTCTCAGGACAAAGGCATCACAGAAGAAGAATTTCAAAGCGTTCTATCCTACCTTATGATAACAAACGAGGTATCAGTATTTTAGCTTATTTTTAGACTGGTCATTTTCTTCCTTATCTTTTGTGGTTGTTTGGTGTTTTAATGTCCAAGTTTCGTGCTACAAATTAGTAGGCTGGTCATTTCACCGAGTCGCTCCCTCCATTCCCATGTGTACATGTGGGCACTGGTGACATACTAGCATCCTCTTAGTATTTCTAGATGCTTTATTATTCAAAAACCACGATAGGCTCCACCTCTGTGGTTCCATGCATGCGACATAAGGGCCTCTATTCAAGGAAATCAAGATGCAAGGAACTTCTCGTATAAATGTTGTTCCGGGTAGAAGGGTCATTCGCCTAACCGATCCACTCTGAGCGAGCCAACTTTTCCTACATTTCCTTTCTAAACCTTGCGAAGCGTTTACATGAGAAACAAAAAGTTGGCTCGGCTAGAAGAAGGCGGATCAGCCTTTTTCGATGGTAGGGTCACCCTCCCAGCCGGGACAACGTTTCTCAATATGAACACTTTCGCTCACTCAGCCTGGTCAGCTCGGTCAAGAGAAGACAATTAGGGCATGCCCGAGAGCTGTTGGCTTGGGCTAAGGGGTCAAAATTTTTCCCATATTAACTCTCGTTAAAGTTGACTCGGCCGGGAGACTCTCCCCCAAGACGACTTATCTCTTTATAAACGGGACCTTAGATACGACGCAACGAAGGGCCGCCATTACGTGCTCTTATAAAATAAGGTACAGTCCATGTGTTATTTGAGCGCTTCTTAAGAATGACGCGTCTTCTGTTTCCCTGTATAAATGGCCCTAATTGTGTGTGCCCCTATGTTTACTCTACATTTTAGTGATCTTAGTAGCAATGTGAAAGATTTGAACCCAAGAGTCACTTCATGACTAGGTTGTATTACGCCAGTAGATGGTATTTTAAAACTCTGATTATTGACCTGATTGGTCAGTTAAGTCGCAATGTTATTGGTCGTCTGTCAGTTAAGCTGTGATGTGATTGGCTATGAAGACTCGTGTCACAGTTAAAACGCAGTCGTTTATTGTTATAGTCAAATTGTTAGTTGTTCAGTCGTTCTCTCGTAGTTAGTTTTGCTTGATTTTGTCAATAAGTCGTTTGTACGGTGCCGTTAACTGTAATGTCATAAGCAAAATTGGTTTTTCCTCAGGAGGAGAATCTTCTAGATGTTCTTCAACTGGTGCTATCAATAATGACCGAGCAGCCAGATATTTGTATCGCTGTCTTTGATAAAGTTGATGGTCTAAGGTAAGCTAAGCAGGTACTGTACTCTCAGTAGGCAGCGTAGCCGAGTGGTCAGTACGTCGGGCATATACCTTTCCGAGTTAGTCGTCATTTTTCTGCATATACTTCACCTCAGTGTGTACTATTTGACCCTTTAATTTTCACTCGTTTTAGTTTTCTGAGCTATTTGTTTTATTTGCGTTCGACAGAGTTCTATTTCGTTTCCTGGACATGAAATCCGAAGCGGTTAGAGTTTATGCTTTGAAGATTGTTGGCTGTTTTCTTCAGTACTGTCCAGCCAAGTAAGTGAATTAATAAACTACCTTACGCTCCTCAATTTAACCGTGGAAATATCGATTTAAATAAAGACATGATCGTCGTAGTGGTAATTACAATTCAAGCAATTGCAAATAAACCCGAAAAACAATTTTGGGACTTCAAAGTTATTCGAACCCATGACCTCTGCGTTAGCGGATCAGTGCTCTACACAACTGAGCTATGAAGATTCATACATTGGAAGCAGGCCAATTTGTTGAGTTCATCTTAATCCGTGAAAGGATTGAAACAAGAATATGATGTGAACTGCGGAAATACAAAATTAAATAAACAAAGGGAAAATGCCTTGATCATTAAATTCAAATTTCATTTTAATATGTATTTCGACAGTTCACATCATCTTCATATTTCTTGGAAATATTGTTATCGAATAAGGTTACTTTTGTATACTGAGTTTCCATTTCAGTGGTAAAACCAACTGCAATTTGCTCAGGCGTTTACGTGCATGTCGTTCCGTTTGCACGTATTATTTTCTTCGAGTTGTGATTAGTTCTTTTCAATTCACAATCAGGAGAAAAGGGTATATGATCATAGTAGAACTGTATGAGGATCAGACCTTTTTACGGCATGAAGAAGAAAAGCTTTAGTGTGCTTTTACCACCAGCATCATGTTGTGTTGCTTGTTTTAATGATTTGCAAAATAAACGGGCATTTTTTTTCAGTTCTGATGCATACTTTTTTCCCCATAGGAGAAAGCAGGACTTGTTGGAACACTACAGTTTGTTTTCTTTGATCGGCGATAAGCTGATAAACCACTCTCTAACACTTACAACCTACAATGTGCTGTTTGAGGTACGTGTTGCTGCGTATAATGTGTTAGATATCAACCTATCTTTTTAGTGGTCTGATAATTTGTTCTGTTTACCATATGTTTAGATCTTGGTCGGACGAGTGTCCAAACAAATAGTCAGCGGGCACCACCCACAGCCAGATAACACCTTCATTTTGCAAAATACAAGTAAGTCACAGAAGTTACATAGCGATAGGTAGTTACTCATACGTTCATTTTGCAGTCAGTTCTGTTTTCTATACCCAATAGACACTTCTGTAAATGATAATGACATTTAAGTAACAAAGTCAAGTATTGTTTGGTGACACAGAAAGTCGTCCTTATGGCAAGAACAAAACTGCGGACCATTTTAGTTCAGACAGTCTGCCAGTGAGAGTATGTCGGTAGTTTCAGTATGCGTGATCAAATGGTGACAAGTGAAATTAGGGAATAATTTCACTTGTGCTTTGTCCAAATTCTAATAATTTCCGAGCCTTGGACAAAACGCAAGTGAAATTATTCACTAATTTCACGAGTGTACCATTTGATTACCTATAACATGTAATATGGGTGACAAATTGCGTTCACAATCTTGGGTTTTTGACATATTTATCGTATCGATCGAGAACTCCACGCACTGAAAACTTTAGCGCTTAAATTTTGGATTAAGTTCCTGATTTTCAGAATTTTGCGACAAAATACCTGATAGAATCCTTCTTGATACTCTGATTCGTGTGTTTAGGTTTTCTAAATCGTCTTAAAACCTTGACGCCATCTTGGCACTGAAACGTACAGAACTTTGTAATTTTCATGTATAAATTATCAATTAACACTGATAAATTTTGCGTCAAAATTAAGGAATAATTTGTCACCCATGATATTACGATTAAAATATCTTCAGGACCCTTTTCTTCCTCTTGTAATAAGTAAAAAAACGTTGTGTGTGAACCGGTTTGGGATAAGCGTGACAAAAGTCTCAGGTCTGGGAAAGAACCTGTGTTCTGTTCGAGTTTGGGGTGCGTTTAACTCTCATTGTAAAACGTTACCAACCGAAGCGGGTGTGGATGGTAATTCAAATGTTGCTGTTTTGAAAACAGGTTTCCACTTTCCTATATTTTTTACAACTTATAGTTATTGGACGAAGGAAGAGACTTAAATTCGCTTGTGCGTTGGGTTGTTGTAAAGCAAATAACATCGAATGACTCTTTTTATGCTAAAAGTTGTCTTTTTTGTTTCTTTTTCTCTCTCCAGCTATGGCTCCAGTCATAGCCAAAATGCTTCGCAAAAACGAAGGAAAACATTGCAACGCTGTAGTGAAACTAACTCGGCAGGGAAGCTTCAGAGAACAGCGCACACCGGACGAGGAGAAGGTCGACCTCAAAAGAAAATTCTTGTCTGATCTTGTATTACTTCTTAACCACAGCAAAATAAATAGAAGGTAAAGTAGTAGACACACAACACTTTTAATGAGGGCACCCGTAAGGGTAGTGTTAGTGGGCTTTATCTTTTAAATATCTTTCTAAATGATTTAGAGATCACACAGGATGATTGTAATTTTTTACATAAATATGCGGATGATTCAGGTATAGTTGCCTCAGTTTTGAGAGGTAAAGACTGGTCCTTAGTTTTTGTGGCCAGGTTTATGGAGTGGTCTCGGGATCAATTGTATGACTTGCAACCCAGTGAAGTGTAAAGAACTCACCTTTCTTGAGAAGGGTTAAAACGCAGATGCTGTCTATCCGTCTACTGCAGATATACCACAATAAATTGCAAATCCTCGGAGTACAACAATGTTAAAAATTGCTAATCCTCGGAGTGTACTTTCAGGAAGACTCACGGTTTGCGGTTTGTTGACCATGTTAAAGAGAAGCTTACTAAGGCTAACAAGGGACTTTATGTTTTAAGATCTTTACGCAAAGAAGGGTACAGTCAGTTCGAAATAGACAACCTATTTAAATCTATAGTGTTGCCAGACTTAGTTTATGGTCTGTCGGAATATGGAGCCTCTGAGGCTAATTTTTCAACTGTGGAATGTTTCATAGATAGAATGATGCTTCAAACGTAATAATATTCTCACAATGTAAACATCTGCGAGCTGTGAGAAAAACAAGGCGGAAGAATTTACAGCAAGTTGTCTAAGTCGGAAGGCCATTCTCTCTATCATATGCTTCCCAAGGCAAAGGAGACTGAGTACCAGCTGCGTCGTAGTTCTGTTCGTAGGCCGCAAAATAACACAAAGAGGTTTATGACCACTTTCATAATCGTTTAATATTTGATTATAAGTTAGCTATTTAGATTTTTTAGATTTTTTTTAACGTTTTTACCATGTCAACTTACCATTGTTACGATGTTTTCTTTTTATTATAATATTCTTTAAAAATCTACAATTTCTTGGCTATTTATATTTTTTAATTCTTTTATTATGTCATTATATGTACATTATATCTTTGTAAGATTTGGCTCTTTTATGAATCTTTTTTGTAACATAGAATATGTGTTTTTATTCTATGAAATGAAGACCTATTATTATTATCATTATCATTATTATTATTATTATTATTATTATTGTTATTATTATTATTATTATTATTTTACACGAACTTTGTTTTCCTTCTCCTTCTTCGTGGCCATTGGGGGTGCGGGTTTGGGAACAGGGGCGGGGCGTAGAGGGCTGTTTAAAAGCAAAGACATAGGGTGAAGTAGAAGTGTAACTGGAAGCATCACTGACGCCAATTTTTCTTCTTCGCACAGTCTTATTCTCCAATTGTCGTGTTGGCAAGAATGGCTTTTCACTTTGGCTCACTTGGAACCTTCGAACCCAGGTAAAGAAATTAAGTTAAGAAGACTTACTTAACCGCGCGCGAGGTTTAAGAAATTGCTCAGAGGACCTTCAGACAAGTGGGTTATTTCAAGAAGATAGATAGTTTTTTATGCTATGTGCTCTGGTGAAATTGTTCCTCGTTAAAAAGTGTTTGGATAAAATAGCGTTGAGGAAACTGAAAATGGATTAGAACGCGGTTTTGTTGAACACTAGCTAAACTCCATTTTAATTAAGAGGCCCATTGTTTTCATCGCACTTTTGTTTAGACTTGCCATCTGAAAGTGTCGAGTTGAACCTTTTCCAGCCTTTTAACCATCGGTTATGATCCACCTAATTCGTTTTCCATCTTGGGTCGCCTTTCCAAACGTGGCTACGTGAGCTTCGTTCAGTATAGGCCATAACTGTCCTTTCTTGTGATGTTGTGTCTTTTTTAAAAGGATTTAATTCCCGCATTTTGAAAGGAAAAGACACTTATTGACCTTTCTTGTGGCTGTATTTCAGAGGAAACCCGAACCACCGACACTGTGTTCTGTTTGTTTCGGATGCTGCTTCATCACGCCTTTCAAGAAGAGCGTGAAGGCTGGAGAATCTGGGTGGATACGCTAGCTATTCTGCATGGCAAGGTACTGTACTGATGTCGGGTCAATTTAGGTTTCTGGGAATCTGCCCACCTACCCCTTCCTTAAGCTAACATTAACACTTAATTCTCACTTTGGCCAAAATGATGTCTTAGGGGAGTGGTAAGTGGGCAGTTTCCCAGAAACCTTAATTGATCCAAGTAGTCTTCATCAAAAAGGCCTTCAGTGCCACTAGGCACGAACAGGATACCTTTTTATGGGAAATAAACGTTACAGAAATTAACGCGACTAAAATTAAGGTTCATGAAGCGTTAATTTCCTATAATAAGGCAGGTGAGCTGAGGTGGTCTTTATCAAAACTTGGAAAAAAAAAAACAATCGTGGATTGCTCTATTGCCGGTTTTGGTTATTTGTTTACAGGTGACATCATTTGAAAGAGGAAAAGGAAAGACCACTCCCAAACGCGCAGCGCCAACGTCCCCTGCTAACGTAAACAGCCAAGGTAAACGCGTGGATGAAGCTGTTAAGTCTGCTACAGACGTGAAATCTCCCGCGTCTAACTCCACAGACAGTGATAATGACAGGAGAAAATTTTTTCAATCGTTACTGCAAAGCAAAAATGGACCCAAAGTTGATGCTCTTCCTAAGACTATCCCTGAGGAGATCGAAAGTGGTCCTAACTCCCTTGCAAAAGCGCAAGGAGAGACTACTGCTAAGACCCTCCCTGAACAGAACGAAAGTGGCCCTGGGTCCTCTGAACAGGGCCAAACAGAAACTACTGAAAGGACTCTTCCTGTGGATAGTGAAAATGGCCCTAACTCCACTGAACAGGAGCAAGAAAAATCTACTGGAGGGGATACAAAGGACGAAGCACACACGATGGATGCACAGGACGTAAATAATAGTGAATGTAATGAAAAGGATAGGTCCCCTAGCGTGGAGGACTCTCTCAGTTCTACAGGTTTAGGCTCTGATTTAAGAGAAGCTGAGGAGCCAACGGGCCATGAGGAACCTAATGAAGGGGTTAGAGATACTACGGATGTTAGAGAATGTGGAGAGAAAAATTCGAATGACATCGTTCGTTCTAAATACTTTGCTAATCAAAGTATTCACAACGAAAAAACCGCTGCAGATGCAGCTGAAGATGTATCGAGCTTGACTTCAGTTGAAGATAAGTTAAGTGATGACAAACAATCTGATGCAAAATCTGACGGAGCTGAGAAACCGATCGTTGGAGATACCGAGACTTTACCCAAGGCTGATGAAAGCGCCAACGAACCACAAGTAAGCGAAAGAAAACATGAAGACAATGATGATAAGGAAAGTCTTCAAGACTCTGGGAATCAGACAGAAGTTAGTACTTCGCCGCCTGAAACAGCGACTCAGAAAAACACAAATTCAAGCGAAGGTCAAAATTTATTTTACGAGAAAGATAAAGCGAAAGATGTTGATAATAGTCTTACTATTGCAGTAAAGAGTTCCTATATTGGGACTGCAAGCGAAGTGCGCGAGGATGCGCAATCAGAAAAGGATGTTAAAGAGGATAGTGACTCTCAAAAGAAACTTGTTACGTCAGATGTCGCTCCAAGCGAAGAGCAAATCGTCTCTCAATCAACGGAAAATAGTATTCAGAAACCGACTGTCGAGTCGTTAAATAACGATAATACAAGCCAAGCGAGTTCACCTAACACACATTCGGAGACTGGGACTGAGTCCAGTCCAACCTCTACTCCTTCTGCCACGTCCGCAGCCACAAGTAACGCAGGCTCACCTGAGCAGAAACCAACTTACAGAGCACATGTAAATATTCCTGAATACTTATGGTCGCCTATTCACCAGAGACTGTTAGGGGATTTGTTGTTTGCTATCGAGGCTGATGTCCAAGTTTGGAGAAGGTAAGTTTTAGTGGCGAAAGCGGTACCCAACTACCCGAATTTTAGAAAAGGAATCTTAAGTTACATTTGATGAGGAATCTTAACGTGATTAGGAATGAAATTACAACTAAATGCTCGGGGATTATCTTAATTTATGTAGAATAAATTATGGTATAGGGAAAACTAAGTAGCAGTAATTACTTCATGAGACCAAAAGTTCGTGTGACCGTCGCGTTTTGTCAGCATTTTGCATTTCTTCTCTTTGTCTTTAAAAATATTCCAGGTTTTCAAGATTCCTTTTGATGTTGAAGCCCCTTTTGAATAACTGACTACCGCTGTAGAAGAATGAGAGAGAAGGAGCCATTCGCCATTTGCACACCTCCCATGATACACCTTACTTCCCCCCGCCCCCACCCCCCCAAAAAAGAAAAACATTTTGGATAATTAGTGTCTTCAGTTTCTCTTGGAATGGCTGAAATACCCATGGGAAATAAAATACAAAGGTTATTTTAGGGGCGGGAAGGGGGGTGGGGGTGGACAAACAAGGTGTATTTTTGGAGATGTGCAAGTGGCGAATTGTTTTTATTGCAAAAACACAAATACAGGTTTAAAATGAAACGGTTTTTAAGTTCTTGATGAGTACATGCCAATAATGAAAGTAGACAATCGTTTTGTCACTCATTTATGGTAAACGAGGAAGCTACTGGGCTACTAGTATTTGTGTTATCCATATTTTTCCTATTCTTCTTGTGTATTTAATGTGCTCGTTTTGAATGTCCAAGAAATAACTTTGTGACCTTGTTTTTAGCCACAATCGTAAAACTGTAATGGATTTTGTCAACGCCAAAGAAAATGGGACATATCTGTGGAACCTGGCTCATTTTGTTTCGGTGCTGGCAGATAACGTCATTTTTTGCTGCGGGGATCTTCTCCCTCTGCTCTCCTCCGTCACATCACGTGATTATGGCCAAGACGTCATCGAGCCGTGCGGTGGCATGTCACTGGAAACGAGTTTCTCTTTCCTCAATCGGGTTATGTCTCTTGTGGATGTGATAGTGTTCACTAGTTCCCTCGCCTTTAGCGGAGTGGAGACTAATAGGAACTTGAGCACGGGTGGATTCTTGAGACAGTGTTTAAGATTAGGTAAGTGAAAGTAAATCGTGAATAGGCCATGGAACAATTCAGGTTTCTGGGAAACTGCCCCCGCCTACCCCTCCCCTAAGCCAACATTTTGCCCTAAGTGAGCAGTAAGTGTTAATGTTGCCTTAAGGATGGGGTAGGTGGGCAGTTTCCCAGAAAACCTAAATTGATCTTAGGCCATTTCCGGCCGTTTCCCAGTTACGTAAACTCTCACTATCAAAACGAGGCTAAGTTCAAAACCTTTCTTGGGAAAATGAATTTTATTTGCATGAGAATACAAAATATTTTTCATATCAAAACTTCGCACTTAGCTTCGCTTTGACACAGAGCTTTGGGGTAACTCGAAAATGGCCTATTAGGCTGACTGAACCTTTAGGCAGTCTAGGCGGGCCGTTAGAGACACAGAGAGATATATGGAGGCAGCCATTTATTCATTGCAAAGTCACTGTAAATTTTAAACGTTATAACCTCCTGTCTTGCTACTATCTTTAGATAGCTTACCTCTAATTTTGCTTGTCGGAAGGCCGATTGTTTTGTTATTCCAGAGTATGCCTTCTTAAGCCTTTATTAATTATAGCCATATTATGTTACTCTTATGTTTGTTTGTCTATGCAGTGTTCTGTTGTGCGGCTCGTAACCGCTTAGTCTGTCGGCAGCGTAACAGACCCATTCTACCACTAATCACTAGCGGGAAACTTGGAAAGAAGGCGCTCAAGGAAGCAAGAGAAGCCATCAAGACCCTGATAGCTTCCACAAAACCGCCCAGTGAACAGGTATGTAACAGATGCCAGTGTTTTTTTTTGTCGTGGAGATAAGTTTGGCCATGTAAGGTTGCCTGCGATGTCGACTGCCGCTTTGGTGTCACTACTTCCTACTCCACAGACTTTACTCGGTTCCCAAGGCTAAGTGGGGAACACAGACTTTTAAAGCGGGGTACTTGAGGCGAGTGAGTTAGCGCGAGTGGGGGATGATGGAAACAAGCGCCGAGTGCGAGCGAGGAGTGATGGCCCCCTTCCCGTCACTCTCTTCTCCCCGTGTTCCTCAATAATTAATTCATATATCCCCCAAATAAGTGATCGCGAGTGACTGGGGACGAGGCAGGTGTCACTAATCCGTTGCCGCGCAGTTCGTTCCTTTCAAATTAAAAAAAGATCAAGACACACATGAAATTCGATATTCGTTTGTCTCCAAATACATCGCCAGTGCAGGAGTAAAGCCCAGCTTGTTCCCGAATAAAGCATGGTTTCCTACGGGAAAATCAGCCTTATCGTGTGGTCATCTCATCTTCGCTCGGAGGAGCTCTTTTGGCATGAAATGTCATGATTTGGAAAGCAGCTTCTTCACACTGATGTTCTTCCAAAGGAGTACTGAGGAAAGGTATTGGTAGAAAAAAGGACAAAAAAGGAGTGTGAGAGATAATTCAAACGAAAGCCAAATACTAATTCACCAGGCTCACTCACAACTTTTAGTATCTGCTCTGATGAAAGTGTGAAACTCAAAACGTCTTTAAGCCAGTTGACCCTCTTTTAACTCAACTGATGTCAAATAGAAGGGTACTATAACACAGTACTGCAAAATTGTTTTCAGGGGTTTGAAAAAATGACAAAGTGTAATTTGCACGGCTAAATAATTCCTATTTTTTGTTTTTCTTTTGCGTTTCAACTTTTTTGTGACGCCATTGCAATTAGATGTATTTAAACTAACCAGAAGGGAAGGACACGCGAGAAAAGAAGTGATTAGGAAAATGTCTGCTTGATTATTTCAGGACATGGTCCAGAACATTCCTGGTCACATGACAACTGTGACAGACCCAGAGAAACTGCTTCAAGAAATGGATGTGAATCGGTTACGCGCTGTGGTGTATAGGGACTTCGAGGATAGCAAACAGTCGCAGTTTTTGGCCTTAACAGTCGTGTACTTCATTGCTGTAATGATGGTGGCTAAGTACAGAGATCTCCTTAAATCTGAAGACTCTGATGCCAGAGCAAGATTTCATACTAGTCCAGGTGCGTTTCTGATATACGATATGTCTCGTAGCGAAATGAGCCTCGAAAAGTGGTGCTTCACCTGAGACACCGAGAAGTGAGTTGTTTAACGAGGTAGAGTAGATACTTTAGAAGTGACTTCAAGGTTTGGGATAACAGATTAAACACTCTTTCGAGTTTAAGGGGAGCAGGAGTGGCGTAGCGTAGCCTGCGAACATAGCCACTTGTACAAGTTTGAAAATTTTGCCGGAAAACCCGTGCACCCGGTGCGGAAAATGCTTTCCTCTCGCCGAGAAGCAGTGTGGCCAGGGGTTTCGAGTCCCGCCTGGACGTCAAAAATCAAATAGGTTTAGATTAGCAAAGAAAATCTTTAGTTTAAACTAAGTTGAACTCAAAATTTTTCTACCTTCAAACTCTTTTCTTTATCACTTTTTGCACACTATCATTAATTGTTATGTTTATTTTGCTTTATATGCAGTAATAATTCTTTATGTGTTGTAATAGTTTGCCTTTTCTCTGTAAATCTTGTACTTATTAATTTTTATTCTCATTGTAACTTAGCAGCACATTGTAACTCTCTGACCTACGCCATATAAGCCTCTGGCTTTGGCATTTTGTTATCGTTAACTTGTGCTTTGTGTACTTATTTATCAATAAAGAAAGTTGTAAGGTGCAGCACGCTTATTGGACACTTCTTTGCCGTTGTTGCCGACTACGACTTCAGTCTTCCCGAGTTTCATGTTTTATGGAGGACGTGAACACAAGACCACAATTTTTCTTCTTTTTTTCTGTCCTTCAAAATCAACACCAGGAAAATTCCCCAACAGTAAAGTAAACAAATTGTATGAAATTAAATAAAGAGTAATAAAGATTAAGTGACGTTTTCGCTCCCGTTGCCCGTCGTTTTTGCTTAAGTTCTATAATAACTACACAATGGCATTTCATTTCAGGTCCTCCTGCGTCGGAAAGTGAAGTTCAAGATGTGGATAGCCGATCACGAGCCGCCAGCTGGGGTGGTCAGCGGAG